CTCAGCTGATGATCTCCTCTCCAGGTCTGCTGGCTCGCGCATGGGCGTACTGAGGTTCACAGGTGAAGTCAACGAAGACGTCTTCGGAGAGGCAGGCCTCCTGAAGGCAGCACCGGTCAGCATTCAGCTCCGTGAAGATGCTGTTCCAGTCGCCCTTGCCACTGCAAGAAACATCCCGCTGCCACAGATTAAGCCGGTGGAAGAGGAGCTGAAGAAGATACAGCATCACGGCATCATCACGTCGGAGACCGAGCCAACGGACTGGGTCTCTGCGCTGGTCCCCGTCCCGAAGCCGAAGAGTAGCGGTGTCCGCATCACGGTTGGCTACAAGAGACTCGACCAGTCTGTGAAGCGACAGGTGTTCCCGGTCCCTACTCTGGAGCAGCTGACCTCCAAGCTGAGTGGCGCGACGCTCTTCACCAAGCTAGACGCCTCTTCCGGTTTCTACCAGATCCCGCTGGACGAGGCAAGCTCCAAGATGACCACGTTTATCACTCCGTTCGGCAGGAAGAGGTTCCTGCGACTGCCGATGGGGATCTCGCTCGCACCGGAGTGCTTCCAGCGGGAGATGGAGAGGCTGGACGGACTGCCCGGAGTCATCGTCTACATGGACGACACCGTGGTGTCCGGAGATGCTGCCAGTCACGATGCACGTCTCGAAGCCGTCATCAGGAGGATCCACGAGTCTGACCTCAAGCTGAACAGGAAAAAGTGTGAGTTCCGGAAGAACGAGGTCAAGTTTTTGGGGATGAAGATCAGCAAGAACGGTATCAGCATGGACGAAGAGAAGCTCGAAGCGATCCAGCAGCTCCAACCGCCAAAGAATGTCAATGAATTAATGTCTCTGTTCGGAGTAATCAACTTCCTGGGCTGGTTCATTCCACACATCCAGGAGTGCTTGAGACCATTGAACGAGCTTCTGAGGAATAACGTAGCATGGCTCTGGACACCACAGCAGCAGCAGGCGCTGAATGACGTGAAAGCAGCCGTCACTTCAGCTCCAGTTCTGGCGTTCTACGATCCAGCACGAGAGACGGTGGTCAGCGCCGACGCCAGCTGATTCGGCATCGGAGGATGTGTCCTCCAGAAGCGCGGCTCCGTCTTCAAACCCGTCGCGTTCTGCAGCAGAAGCCTGACTGACACCGAGACCAGATGGGCCCAGATCGAGAGGGAACTACTCTCCGCAACGTGGACGTGCGAGAAAATGCACATGTTCCTGTCCCGACTGCCGTCGTTCGAGCTGCATCTGGACCACAAGCCTCTGATCCCGCTGGTTAACACGAAACATCTCGAGGATGCGTCTATCAGATGCCAGCGCATGCTCATGCGCTTGATGCGATACAACGCCACAGCAGTCTTCGTTCCAGGGAAGCAGCACCTGATGCCCGACTTCCTCTCACGTCACCCGCTCCAGAAGCAGGATGAAACAAGCGCCGTGCTTCAAGAAGACATACATGGATTCTGCGAGAGAATCTTCAGCGATCTTCCCTTCACACCGCAGCGTCTGGTGGAGATCAGCAAGGCGCGGCAAGCGGACGAACCCCTACAGCGCGTAGTTCAGCAGACTCTCTCTGACTGGAAGGAGGGAGCGAAGCATCCCGACCTGCTGGACTACTTCGCCTCTCGGGGAGAGATGAGCGTTCTGTACCTAACGTGTGGTACACTGCTGATGCACGGGCGACCCATCGTCATCCTTCCGGGTCTGCGAGATGAAATGCTCACTCGATTACATGATGACGGACGCTTCGGTCTAAGCAAGTGTCGCCAGAGGGCAGCAGTATCGATATGGTGGCCTCAACTCAGCATCGACCTGAAGCGTCATCTTGAGGGCTACTCGTTCTGTCAGGTGAACGCGCCCGCCCAGCACGCTGAGCCACTGGTGACAACCCCAACGCCATCAAGACCGTGGACGCACGTTGCAGCAGACGTCTTCCACTTCAACAACTGCAACTGGCTCGTCACGGTGGACATCTTCAGCAGGTATTTGGAGATACAACGCCTCCCGAGTCTCACCAGTAGCGCAGTCATCGAGCGTCTGATGCGCCTGTTTTCCCGCTTGGGGATACCAGACCTCGTGACAACAGACGGAGGAACGCAGTTCACTACAAGCTCGTTGGCCAACTTTCCAGCGTCCTACGGCTTCACAAACCGTATCACAGACCCGCACACGCCGTCTTCCAACGGAGCAGCTGAACGAGCTGTGAGAACCGCCAAGTGGATACTTCGCCAGAGGGACTCCCACCCCGCCCTCCTCAACTACCGCACGACGCCTGTGGAAGCAACCGGATACTCCCCAGCCCGTCTCCTGATGGGACGCGAACTTCAATCTCGTTTCCCCATCGCTCAGCCAACCGGAGAAGCATGGCAGCATGCCAAACTCCGAGATCGGCAGAGGAAGAAGAAGCTGAAGACGTGCTTCAACCGGAGACGCGGTGCCCGCGACCTTCAGCAGCTACAGCCCGGGGTTGATGTTCGGGTCAAGACGGAGAAGGAGGCAAGCTGGTCCGAGCCCGCCACCGTCATAGAGAAGCTCTCTAGACGCAGCTACCTTGTGGTGCTCAAGGGTGCTCGCTATCGTCGCAACCGACATCATCTGATGCAGATCCGTCCGTTTCAGGTCTTGACACAGCACGGTTCCAAGCGGCGTGCTGACCATTCTGCACACAGGGTGCCGGCCCCAGAGCTCTTCTCCGGCCGCCATGCTGAGGTGGCGCCACCGGCGCTGTTGCAAGCGCAACCGCGCGGACCGGCGCCTCCACCACGATCGGTGGTGCCACGGCCACCACCAGCTGTGCCGTCGCCCGCGTCGACAGCGGCGCCGCCGCCGTCGCTGCCGCCGCTGACAGAAGCTGCGGCCGCTGACAGAAGCTGCGGCCCAGCCCTGCAACGCGCAAGTGCCCAGACATAAGACCCAACGCCACTGCTTAGTTTCAGTCCGCGTAAAATACGCAGTGGCCGCGTTTTCTGAGAGGCATCAAAGAGAATCAGCAGAGAAGCAGCAGGAAAGCAGATGGGAAGCGGCAGAAAAGCAGCAGAGAAGAAGCAGTCTGAGAAGCAGCAGAGCAGCAGCAGGAAAGCAGCAGGGAAGCAGCAGGGAAGCAGCAGTCTGTCGCCAGTAATTTCGTTTCGCAAGCGTATTAGCATTTATTTGCATTTGCTCAAGGGGGAGATGTATCATGATGTTACTGGCGTGCGCCTGAGGCCGCCCCTGCTCGCGCCGCCAGTGCTGCTGCACCTGGGTACGCCGCTGCCCCGACTGGCGGTGACTGCCTGGGGCGCCGCCCACCGGGGTCGGCGCCGCCCGCTCGCCTCGCGGGTTAACACGGTTGCCGTCTCGCTTTGCCAGCAGTTGCCAGCGCTCGTGTCTGGTCTGGGCAGACAGAACACGTAAGACTTGAATAGTGCTCCGATGCGATAAGCTCGAGGACGGTGGAATCGATGTTGAGTTCCAGCACGGAGAGGAGGCGAAACGGGCCAGGACCTCGGATATATTTGTGTACCGTGTGCGGGATGCGGAGGGGAAAAAGGACATGTCAGTGGCGATGGCTGTGGAGGTCCATAGGACAAAGAACTCGTCGAAGGGTATCGTCAACTGTTTTGACCTGAGATGATGTCGGTGATGAGGAAATGGTCGACGGCCTCGCTGAGTTCTGGGTGACAGATGCTCACCGCATCAAGGTGCGCAGGGGTCCGGAGCTGGTCCCCACGAACAACATCGCGCTGAACTGTTAATCGTCCTGACATTCTATCTGAAGTAAGGATAGGCTATGTGAAGGTGAAGGTGCGGCTTTTTATGCCGAACCCCATGAGATGTTTCAATTGCCAAATGTTTGGACATACGAGTGACTTCTGCCGCAGCCAGCCAGCATGTGGTAAGTGTGCTTCTCCGGAGCACCCGAGTGATCAGTGCACTGCAGCGAACCGATGGTGTGTGAACTGTAGGAAAAACCAGAAACCTCACTTAACTTTCGATCGTGCATGCCCGGCGTGCGCCAGGGACAAGATCACCGCGCTGAAAACCACGAAGAACATCTCATTTATGCCACAGCTACTAAGGCTCCTGTCCCACCTGAGGTCTCCTTAGACCAGATGACTGGAACGCAGTTCATTAAACTGCTTACATCGTTCGTGCTGTCGGTTGTACCGGCGTCTCGGGTGCACGCCACAGCATCGGCAACACTGTCGTCCCTCATCTCGATGGCACCCTGTGCCCCCTCTGAGACACAGGCCAGCTCGCCAGTTGTGACCTCGCCGCCTCACCCCACATCGGCGGAAAGCAGTGAATGGACCGTAGTCCGCCGGGGCCGAACTTCCCGGTCTTCGCCGGTAAGCACGCGATCACCGGCTTCACAGCCGTCATCCCCAGGAGCATCACGTCCTACAGCACTGAGTGACACGATGGGACGAAAACTGGACAACCTTAAGCGCCATGAGCCGGAGAGACGGGCGCGTGAGGCAGAGTGTACATGCCTTTAGGAGCAGAATATGGCGAAGGCAGCCAGTTGGCTGTTGGGTGCGGGCCCCGGGCCTGCTCCCACGGGGGAGGTAGTCCCACCCCTCCCCCCCCCCCCCCGAAGGCGTGTGGAAGCTCCCTCAGGCCGCTCCGACTCGCAGAGAGACCCGTCTGTGTCCTCCGCCACCACCGCCACCTAGGACCACGGCGTCGCCGGCGCCAAATGCACGGCATGATGCACCAATCCGCAAGCACTCGCCATGCTATGTGTGTTCGCAGTGGGTGTACATGTGCGATGCATTTCTTTCTCCGGCAGGTTCTGACAAGACACTCCTGGAGAACCTGCTGCTGACGGCTGACGGCCAGGCGCCGGCGGCGAGGCCATCGCCGTGGCGTCGTCCGGCATCACAGCCTCCCGCATAGCGGCATGACTGCCCACTGTCGCTTTAGCATCCCACTCCACCTGCACGACGCGTCCACCTGCAACAGCTCTCCGGCCGCCGACGATTTCAGACGCTGCGTGCTGCTGGTGTGAAATGAGGTGGCAATGGTGCACCGGCGGGCAGTGAAGGCCGTCGACGCGGCGCTGCGTGACGTGCGTGAGTCGGAGTTCGGTGATCTCTTCACCGTTTTCGCGGGCGACTGGCAGCAAATCCTGCCGGTTGCCAGGGGCGGTGGCAGGTGTCACATTGTCGACGCGTGTCTCAAGTCGTCTCCCCTGTGGCAGCACGTGACGTGCCTCACGCTGCGCAACAATATGCGCGCGCAGCTGCAGGGGGACGCCGAAGCGGGTGAGTACGCCCGTTTTCTCTGCCGGCTGGGGTCCAGCCAGCTGCTCCTGTGGCCCTACACAGAAGACCTGTGATGTCCTGTCGTGCTGCTACCGGCGGTGCGCGGCTCGGCGCGGTCCTTGGCTGAGTTGGCGGCCCGGATTTACCCCGACCTGTCGCAAAACATTGACGACACAGAGTGGCTCGAAGAGCGGGCCATCTCACCGTGTTCAATGCCGGCGTCGAAAGAATCAATGACCACGTCATTGACCGTCCGCCGGGGCCGGGGCACGTGTACACGAGCGTAGACAGCATGTCCGACCCTGACGCGGTGCCGCTGGCCAGTAGGTTCTTAACGGCATCGAGCTTTCTGGCACGCCAGCACATTTTATCCGGCTCAAGGCCGGCGCTCCAGTCCTCCTCATGCGTAATCTCGACGCACCCAGCTTGATCATCGGCACGCTGTGCGTGACGGTCGCATTGTCCGCCGCCGTCCTGGAGCTGAAAAATATCACCGGTCCAGACCGCAGCCACGTGATCGCTGCGCCGCGGATTCCGATCGAGTCTACCCCGGACTCTGGCCTGGTGTTCTCATTCCGACGCCTGTAGTTCCCCGTGAGCGTGGCGTTCGCAATGACAACAGGAGCTGGGGACAGACGAAGAAGCGGGTGGGTGTGTACCTTCCCGCTCCCGTGTTCACACACGGGCAGCTGTATGTTTTCATGTCTCATGTGGGCAGCTTTGCCGGCATCGAAATGCCAGTCACGCGCAACGTGGTTTACCGAGAGGTCCTGCGGCAGTGAACGCGACCGCGGCAATGGCAGCACGCCTCCCCAGTGTGATACCTGGTCCCACCCTCGAAACTGCAATGTCCTTTGATTAGTGCACTTTTACTGTGCAGTGCATTTCATGTTGTGCCGTGTATGTGAAAAAATTCGCACTGCATGTCATTGTTCGTCATGTAAATCCGAACTATTGCCGGCGTGAACGGTGCAGATCGCGCGCAGGTGTATGTCACAGCGCATGACATTGTTCATTGTGGTGTAAATCCGAGCCATTGCTGGTGTGAACGGTGCGGTTCGCGCGCCAGCGGAGCCCATCTGCGACGGCATTGGCCGGCGGCGGCCGGTCACGTGACGTGTACCGTACACCGATGTGCCTGCGTCAACACTGACAGTGCGCGTGACGTGTGCTAGCCATTGTGGTGGTAATCGGAATAATTGCCGGCGTGAACGGTGCAGATCGCGCGCGCGTATGAGTCACAGCTCATGCCATTAGTTCATGCCATATGTAATGAACAGAAAAAATTGCAGCTGACGTTTAAGCTGCATAACGCAATCAAAATGGAGGTGACAATATTTTGAATCATAGATCGCGTGAATGCAGCAAATTATAAGGCTAACTTATGGAATGGAACCTATGGAACACCTCAGTTGACCCAGCCCCTGCGGACATGTAACGGACCTTACCTTACCTTACCTTACCTTACCTTAACCAGAAGGAATACGAACAAAAGAGCTGACGAAATAGTTAAGTTCAAGTTGGGTCAGATACTACCGTTATGTTGCGTGTGATGGCACGTGCTCTCTGGTGTTTTTGCTAAGATACTGTCATGGAAGCTTGCGATCACCTGTGTTTGTGACTGCTGAGGCCATATCGGGACCACCATACCTCAGCTTTATCCTCCTCTTTATCTTGGTCCTTGCCGAACTCCAAAGTCTAGCTCTTGGATCTTACTGAATCTCTGAATCTGAATCTCTTCTGAGTGTGGTAGCCGACTTATGGAAGCATGCTAGTTAGTTTGTTGGAGGGAGGCCGTGTACGCCGCCACCCAGTACGGCCAAGGCATAATCGGGGCTCACAAGCTGCCAACAGTTGAGCTTAATAGCTTAGCGGATATGACGAGGCAGCCTGTGACAGATCTGCATGACCGCTTCTACTGACCTAATAGCCCGATGGCGTCCTCCGCAGGGGCAGCCGGCGGACGGCCCGCGCCGTCTTTTGTCCTCATTCGATGGCATTAAGAGCGGCCCTAGGTTAACGACAGGGCGGACCGGCTGTGTCAAAAGGTACACAGTCACGCTTTAAGCAGGAAAGGCGCGATCCAGTCATGGCCCCAGTACAGCACGCCGACGGCTGCTACGTGGCTTCAACAGCCAGGAGTAACCATAATGCGTCCAGACAACGCCCAGGACACGACCATGGTTCGAAATGGTATGCATGTCCAGTAAAAAGTCCGATCATGATTTCTGACAGTATCCCAGAAATTACAGTGGGATGGCAAGATGGGAGGGGTTGATAACGCATTTAGTTTCTCGCGCGATTTAGACAAGCTATCTTCTATGCCG